GATTACATGGGCAGTTTTGTTGATGTGGCAGCAGAAAATTTGGACTGGAAGACCTTAGATTCTTTGTGGCTGCTGATCTAGGCGAAATCCCCTCATTTTGTGGCCAGAACGGTGCACATGGTAGTTGACAGTGAACCCTTGTTGTTTGGGTGGTGGTGGAGTCCAGTTTCTTTGACCGACCACCATCGCCCTCATGTTGGTGTTTCCAAAGTAGAGGAGGTGTTTAATCGGGTAGTCAATCTTGTTGAGGAGAGGCCAAAAGATGTTTCTTCAGAGGTATAGATAGGGGTGTTCAAATCCGGTTGATAATCCAAAAACTGAACCGAGCCAAACCGAATATGCTAGTTTGGCTCAGTTAATTCGGGTGTCGGTTCAGTTTTTGTTTCTTTAAAAAATCGGTTTTCGGTTTCAGTTTGGTTTGGTTGAGATTTTCAACCGAACCGAACTAGTGGTTGTATTTAATTAAGTATATTAAATATATAATATTCTATTCAATACTTTATACTTGGTAATTAATAATTATTATCTTTTCCAATGGTCAATTCGCAATTCCCCATTGTGCTTTGGGCGGTTGGGCCTATTCCAGCTTTTAATTAATAATAGTTAATTAAATAGCCTAGAGACTCTAAGCAACTAAAGTATTAAGATCTATACTAATTATTAATTAGTCATTAATTGTTTGTGAAGAATGAGTATAGTTGCTTTAGAAATTAGTCATTCAACTGTTCATTAAATGACTGTAGTTGTATTAATTGTTCATTAAAACCTAGACTAAATACTAATAACTAATTGTTCATTAATTATTAAAACCGAACCAAACCAAACTGAATTCAGTTAGGATCACTTTGGTTCTAAATTCTAGTCCGGTTGGGAAAGAGGTTCAAACTGAATAGTCAGTTAGGTCTTCGGTTCTAACCGAACCAAACCGATCAATTGTACACCCCTAGGTATAGATTGCAATAGGGTGAACAGGGAGAACCCAGAGGGGCTTTGTTCTACAAGCAGACAGAAATCTCCTATCATTGGCCAAGGTAGACAGAGGCAAGAGAACCGGCGTAAACGCCAACTGAGCTTCTCAAAAGATTCCAAGGGTGCCAATACAGATAACAGAGGGGGTGTTTCAGTTCCTTCCAAAGTTGCAAGTGCAAGTCTTATGTCCCTGCTGAAGTGGACAGATGACCAGTGCATTTTGGTGCCAGTGCTGGCAACCAGGACAGGTGGTGTGCATAGTTAGCAAGGCATCAACTAGGTGGCTAGGTACCCTTGTCTGGGCACTCACCTAAACGCCTTGTTTATAGCAACTAGACACCCATCTAGCCTTTTAATTTAAAAGATCCAAAGGTTTTGAGGAAAGAAACTAAAAAAAGAACAGAATTTTTTTAAGAAATCCCTCCCCCTTACATTAAATACAACAGAATATCCACTCTTGTTTTTTTCTCGTTTGCTCTCATTCTTAAATTTTACCATATAAAAGTATAACCTTCTTTAGTTGCTAACTTGATATGAAATTGCTATATTCTATATTATATTAGTATCATTTTTGAAAGTACTGCAATTAATATAATTGAAATACTATTGTTGTAAACATGTCAAGTTGTCATGTTTTGAGATGAAATTTAATGCTATTAATAAAGAATGTTGTTATAGTTAGTATGCATGCTGAATTGTATATAAAATTAAAGAACAAGGAAAACTTACTTTTTTATTTATGAAATTCCAAGGCGGCCAGGCACCCCACTATCACCTAGAATCACCTAGGCACCTTAACAACTATGGGTGGTGTGGTGGCTCCTCTAGGTGTCTCGTTTTCTAGTTTGAATGTGGATGGGGGGTTCACTTCGAGTCCGGGTCTTAGAATGAATGTGGATGGGGGGTCTACAAAAGTGAGCAGACCTCTTGAGCCTGTGGCCCATATCAATCACATTGTTCTTGTTAAACTCGGGTCTTAGAATGAATGTGGATGGAGGGTCTACAAAAGTGAGCAGACCTCTTGAGACTGTGCCCCATATCAATCACATTGTTCTTGTTAAATGCATTTGGGAGAGGCTGAAGAATGACTTGGGCCAAAAGAAAAGCTGGGCCCAACAGCAGGCAGTTCATAATTTAAAGATATCTTTCCATTTAAAGGGCTCGGCCAAAAATGTTAGTTTTAAATATACTTGCAAACATTCTTTTCATAAGAATTTTTTGCTCACATTGGAGAGATTAAAAGATGGCAGGTCCCTTTAATTTGAGTTTTTCTCAGGTTGATGAGCGGTTGGTTAAATAGGTGCTGTCTTCAAGGTTCTTGTTGTATCCTAAAGTTTTCTAATTAATGAAATCTTGTCTGAGTTATTGATCAAAAAAAAAAAGGTCCATGCAGCAAGTTGATAAAAAAAGGTTCGTGCAGCAAGCCCCACCGTAAACAATGCTAAGGTAGTAGGTGCAGAATTGTCAGAGTTGGAGAGGCTGAATGTTTCTACTATACGGCTCGGTATGCAACCAGCCCTAATAGTGAGCAGGTGAAGCAGTTATTGGGGAAGGTAGAAATGCCCTTGATTCCATTGGCAATCAGGTGGATTTTAGAATGAGGTTTGGTAAGTTATTGGGTGTATCATTCCCAAGAGGTGGAGGAAGTATGCGAGAGTGACTTCGGTCTAGAGAGCTGTTGGACCAAGAAGAATGTGCAAAAGCTTCAAAGAACCAAAAAAGATCAGAGGGTGGATCTAGATTCCATGAGTGGTGATGCGCCAGAGTGTCTTGGATAGCTTGATCCCAGGCTATCTAAAAGTGAAGAAACTGGTGGATTTCTACGGAAATGTGGTGGTAAAACCCCAAAGCCAAGGTGCCACTACACCCGAGGAAGGAGTGGAAGAGGCAGGGGAAGGAAAGTCTCAGCTTAAGGGTTTATCTGAGTTGTTTTGGGCTCGCTAGTTTTTTGTTTCTTGGGCCCAGGTGCAAGTGGATTGCTGGCCCAGGCCTTTTTTGGGTCTTTTGGTCTCTTTGGTTGGTGAAGACACATTCATTCATGTGACTGATTTGTCAGGAAGAGAAACCATTGTCTAAATTACTGGAAGAATAAAGGTCAAAGCTGGAAGGGATGAGTTTTCTACATGTACAGCCATAATTGTAGGACAAGATGTTGCAAAACAGTGTAAGGAGCTTGTTATTACTGTTCTGAATATCAAGCTTCATGGTTCGTGCTCAGGGTCCAAATCTTGGAAACAGCTTCTCTGTATGTACAGGGGTAAGGCTAGGTACATCTATCCTTCCCCAGACCCCTCATTGGCAGGAGCCTCATTTACTGGGCTGTCCTTTATGTGGATCTACCTCAATCTGATCCAATTAAGATCTAATCTAATAATATTAGCCTTTATGTGCATATGTTCATTAACAAATATAAATAGGATAAGAGTCAACTCTAGGTAGAATCATACCCATTTACAGTCCTAGATGTGATCCCAATTCCCATCAACAGCATTCATAGAAAGGGTGGCAGTAGACGAAGGAGGCTGTAAATTCTCTTTTACAATACTGTATCAATTGTGGTGGTGAGTTTTTCAAGAGGATATTTTTCTATCTTATAGGTTTGGCATAAGATTATTCTTATTAATGTAAAACAGACTACCAGCTCTTTTTTTCTGTTTTCTTTTGGATTGCTAGGTTTTGCCTTTTTTTTATCAATAACATGCTAGGTTTTGCCATGTTATCCTATGATCCTATCACAAGTTTACATTATAAAATAGAGAAGAATTAAAATTGTGATAGTGATCACTTCAGTGTTTTAAAAGTGCAAGGTGCAAAAAAAGTGCATGGGCCAATTTGTGCCTGAGGCACAAGGTGCAAGGTGAGGTGCGCGCCTTTTTTAAGCAAGGCGCAAAATTACACCAAAAAAAAGCTAAAAATTAAAAAAAAAAGTCAAATTCAAAAAATGCAAAAAAAAAATCAAAAAACATTAAACATAATGTTAATAAAAAATATAAACTTAAATTTTAAAATAAATGTTTTAAAAACCTATTATCTAATAACATGTAAAGCATATTCAAATGAAAATTTAAAAATAAAAGCAAACATATAAAGCATTTTCAAGCATGTAAAACCCACAATCTCTTTTTTCCTTAATTGCATTGCTTCAAGTAGCTAATGTGATGTAAAACATATTGCATTCTTGATTCTATGAGTCACCTTTGTACCACGCCCCTCGAGGCAAGCCCAAACAAATCTATGTTAGGGTCTGAAATTCTTATTTCTCACATAAAAAATAATGATTTTATAACTTTCATTGCCTTTTAAGAAGATTTTTTATTGCAATGAAAAAAAAGGATAAAGCTCATAAAGGACTTGGGTAGGGATACAAGAATAGGACCTTGAAGACATTTATTAAGAGATCATGGCCCCAAGTAGAATGGAACAATGAGATAGAATCAATGAAACCAACCGGTCCAACCCTAATTTTTTTGGACAAAAGTTGGGTAGTAATGATAACAGTTAATACCAAAAATGTTTGAGATCATGGAATCAGAACCTAGTGAACATACAGGAAAGAAATTTGCATCCCATCCACCATAAGATCTCAGAATGTTAATGAATGAAACATAGCCAGGCCTAGTAAAGAAGCACACTAATCAGCCTCACTACACAAGCCTGTGAAAAGAAGCACACTAATCACCCTGATCATACACAATTTTCAAAGTCAACCATTTCCTTCTTTTTTTCCTTCAGAGGGTAGAGGTGGTTACTTCCAAACCATATATCACCTAGTTTTAAATCAAACCATAGTTTGCAGTTTACAAAGACCAGAGGACAATAGCTACATTTCAGAAGGAAGATTTTTTCTTTTTTTTTTTTTTTTTTTTTGAGGGGGGTGGGGGAAGAGTAAGATGAATTGTTTTCAATATCACAGTAAGCAATATATGTAAGCCTAAGGTCATTGTGTAAGCTTCCAATAAAGAAGCTCAGTTTAATGAAACAATTATTTAAGGAAAGAAAAAATAACAGGTTACAGAGGGAACCATATTTACCAGCATTTTGCTATTCACACTGAAGAATCTATCTGCATCTGCCACAACTGTGGGCTTTGATGCTCCAACCGCCATAATAGCCCCCTGCACAAAACTCCAAGCAAGAAGTTGAGAAATAGAGACCATGAGATAATCTGTAATTCAATGGATGTGAGAAAGAGAAGAGACACTTCACTCACTTGGCCTGGGGGAAGAATTGCATCAAATCTGTCAACTCCAAACATGCCCAAATTGGAAAGAGTGAACGTGCCTATGTAGAGTGAATGCAACTCATTCATTTCAACCTCGACATGAGTTGACTAAGAAAAAACTAAGACAAAAAGGACTAAAATCAATTCAACAGATAAGAACCTGAATTGTACTCATGGGGTTGAAGTTGCTTAGCTCGAGCTTTCTGTACGAGCTCTTTCCATTTTTGAGAAAGCAGATAAAGATCCAACTGCGTCAAGCATAACAAATTTCTGATTAAAACAGAATCAAAGTCGAAAGTCGAATAAACTAAATACCAATATCAATCAATCCTTTATTGGTGAATGGAAGAAAAATACGCATATATCCACATCTCAAACATCACAGACCTTATCTGCATCCTGAAGAACAGGAGTTATCAGTCCACCATTAATAGCCACCGCCACTGCTATATTTATATTGCTGTTATATGTAAAACTTTTCCCGTCTTTACAGGTCGCATTCACAACTGGATGTTGCACAAGCGCCATAGCTGCGGCTTTTGCTAACAATGCGGTCATGGTTACTCCCTTCGGTTTCACCTGAATATATCAAATAAATCTAGCTCAAATCCCAAAACCTTAGACTCAGTTTGGAAGGAGTACAAATACAATATGTATGATACAAATACATACAAAATACAAGGTTTTGCACTCTATATATTTGTATTTGTACTCCTTCCAAACTAAGCCTTAGATACAAATTGAATTAGAAACTGAAAGGAGAATAGATCAATTAAATCAAGAAAGCACACCTTCTCGTATAAAGCATCAAGGGCGTCAGTTGTCACAGAATATCCAACGCGGAAAGTAGGTACCGAGAGGCTTTCCACCATGTTCTTTGAGACAGCTGCTTGCATGGTTGTGAAGGGGACAACAGTAGAGCCAGGAATTGGAGGAGGCATTGCAGGAGAAGCAGAAGCAGCGGTAGCAGTAGCAGCAACTGGAGGAGCAGGAGAAGGAGAAGCATTTGCAGAACCTACATTGCTAATGCTACTCTTGGAAGGTCCAATTCCCGCAGCAGACTCGACATCAGATGGCGTTATCCGACCAAACGGTCCGGTCCCAACGATCAATCCAATATCGATCTTATGCTGCTTGGCGAGCTTCTTTGCATATGGAGTAGCGACAATCTTCCTCGGCCCATCATAGACAGGGGGAGGCGACGGCGATTGAGGAGGAGGCGAAGGAGAGGAAGCAGAAGGTGCAGGAGAAGGTGGAGGAGGTGAAGGTGCTGCAGGCGGTGGGCTCGAAGGGCCAGTCTTAGAAGAAGCAGCCTTAGCTTTAGCTTCTGCGACTTCTTCTTCCGTTTCAGCGAGCAATCCAATCGGGGCACCAACAGGAGCAGTCTCGCCTTCTCCGACTACAATTGCAGCAAGAATTCCATCGTAGAATGTCTCGACATCCATATCGGCCTTGTCAGACTCAACGACGACAACGCTGTCACCTTTGGAGAGAACGTCACCTTCGGATTTGACCCAAGATACGATCTTGCCTTCCGTCATGGTGGAGCTGAGGGCAGGCATGAAGATCTCTCTGATCTTGGCGTGGACGGTAGGGATCTTCCGGCGCGGCCTAATGTGGAATCTGGAAAGGCGGGAAGGCAATGGAAGGCCATTGGAAATAGAAGATGAGAATGAGATGGTGTTGTAGGTTGGAGAAACCCTAAAAACGATAGAAGAAGCCATTGAGGAAGCTACTGAGGTGAGTCCTGTGTTTCTCTGTCTCTCGCTCCCTCTCTGTATAAGTCTTTGTATCTGAGGTAGCTTTGGCCGGGGAGAACTGAGAAGTGTTAAAAGAGGAGTGAAGAGAAGGGAATGGCGGAGAGGACGAGGCTCTCTTGGTTACATCGCCTAATAGAGTATGCGAAATGCGAGTTAGGAAATATTTTGGATTTTGCCTATGCGTTGAGGGTGCTCTCACGTGAGGTCATCACACTTGTTATTTGCACTCCTCTCCTGCCCCAAGACTCCATCACTCCACTAGAAATAGATCCTAATTCGACGTTAAGAAATGGATCCCTCTGAACTTTTGGCCGTTAAAGAAAGATCTCCTTCTTAACGTTCTGTCAATTAATTTCGAAAAATATTCTCATTTGAGTGTTTAAAATTTTTGTAATGCTCAAATTACCCTTTTATAATTAAATTTAATTTATGAAATCATCTTCACCACTATTCCTTCGAGTAATATGTCGTCCTTGCTGCCTGGGTGTCCCCGAGAAGAGGCAGGTATAGTCTCATGCTCGTGCACAGCGAAGAACTAGGTCAAGGCTGCCATGTTGTGTTTAGTCGGTTAAGATAAAGTTAAGAGTAAATTTTTTAAATTATCTTTATTGTTTACCAAATTGATTCTATCCTTATTGTTTATATATTATCTTAAAGTATCCTAAATTTTTTTACAATTGACATACAGGTAAACACTAAATGGGCACAAGAAGTACTACCTTTAGAAGGACTGGAACATCCTCGAGCTTCTCAGTAATGGTTTCAGGCTTTCCAGGTTTCAGCCCGGCCATAGACCCTGAGCTCGAAGAAAGCTCTCTCTTTCTCGCTGGAAACAGAGAAAACTATAAACACACGAAAAGAGGCAGTAGCAATCAACCTTTTTCTTTTGATATCTCCCAAATTTTGACCTGACCTACGCCTTAAATAGCCCTAAGAATTGAGAAACCAGGTCGTCTTCCCCTCTTCGGTGCCTGTTTTACTGAATTTCCAAGACATAAATACCCAAAAGGTATTACGGTTTTTTTCCCTTCTATTCCATTTCTAAGCAAAAGGAGAAAGCAGATGCACTCATGCACAAATAAAAAAGAGAGTTTGGAGTATGAATAGGAGCAGTAGTTCCACTTCTAAATAATCACTACAAAGGAAGACAACACCACCACTCACGGCCGCCGCATGGTCCTCCACCTGCTAGGTTCCAATCAATCAGTGGAATCTCTCACCTCTACTTTCTCCTTCTACAACGAAGAGATGGACCAACAAAAGCAGATCGTAAGCGAGGTTTATCTGATCGCCAGGAAGAAATAGTTGTAAAGAGGATGAAGAAATTGATTGAGTTGAAGTTGATGACTAAAAAGAAGGCTGGGTGCCAGAAGGCCCAAGAAATGTTTTAGAACTTGCTCCCACTTTTCCCACCTTCTTCCTTCTTTCTTTGTGCCATAGCCGCTCACAACCCAGAGCTCGTTCCGGATCACCACACCGGAGATCATTGAACCAACTTTCAAATGAGGTGACAAGACTTCTGTTGAATTAACTTTTGGGAGGTCATTGAATAATAAGGGTATTTTAAGAATTTCAAAATAATTACCACTTATGTGATGTCACATGTGAGCGAAGTATAACAGAAAATTAATGTCAAGGGAGGTTTTAGACAATTGTCAAAAAATTTAAGGATACAGTAAGGATGGAATTAGGCAATTTCATAAATAATATGAATAATTTAAGAGATTTACCCTAAAGTTAATCACTATTCACCAAGTCTATGCAAAGCCGAAAATTTGAGAAATTGTTTCTAACTAGAGCATCTGATTAATTGAGCCAAACCTTTAGTTGCTCAGGCGGACAACACTTTCAAATATGGTGGTGAATTCTGGCAATGGAAACAAGGGAGACAAGTATTCTGGGTCAAATCCGAAAGCAATATTAAATGTTGTCATGGCAAAATTCCGGAGGATATCTTATAAATCAATCACGGACTTCTCTATGACGACCATTGAGAAATTCTGGTTGTATAACTAAAAATGCAACATTCGAATTCATGGACGTAGAAACAGAGAGTAATGATCTAGAAGACAGGAGAAAGGGACGATGATACCTCCAACAACAAAGAACGACTTGACCTTCTGATTGAAATCGGACAATCCTACATCTAGAATTGAGAAAGGATTGGGAGAATGACCAATCAGCCCATATCAGAATTTTATAACCCTATTCTAGATCGGGTGTATCCGTACTTCTCCAATTCCATGTAATTGCTCCTTTGATGATGGAACTGGTTCATAACCACATATAACTAATCGTGTGAAACCGAAAGCTGCATTTGTTAATTCGATTACAACTGCAATTAGGCATGCGGATGATCAATAAATACGAAAATATACATGGATGTTGAAATGAGAAACGGGGCCATGCTAGGTTAGTTCACTACGTACTTGAGTTCAAGTGTTCAACATCTAGGCGTCTGTTTGGCATTGTTGCCATTGCTCTAGAAAAATGGTGCTACATCAGCGTCATGTCAGAAAAAATAATGTTCTAAAAAATGGGCATTTGTTTGAAACCGTTTTTCATAAAAAATAGTGCTCCAAGCCACGTCTCGAAAATCAGGAAGACATGATTTGGAGTAACGCCAAATTTGGCATTTCCTGGAGATACAGCTCGTTGCTACCAATAGGACAGTGATGTGGCACTGGATAATGGGTATCAATGCTTAAAATGTTTCCTGAAGCATTGGTACCAAACAGAAAAAAGTTGTTGCTCCAGGAAACGTCCTACTTGACAGCAAGGATTCCAAACAAAAAAAAAGATACTATTTTCTCAGAAAATGGTGCTTCTAACCCACACATCAGCAACACCGTTTTCTGCATCTACAGCATCGATGCCAAACATATACTAGGTCGATTTAAGTAAAACCAACGATATATATCAAAATGTCCCAAAGTTTCAAAATCAATCCAATCAATTCCACTCATGCTATATATGAACTTGTGGGCACAACCTGATTGAACTTATTCGATTCAGCTTCACCCTTGCAGTTTCATAAAGCAAGTTGCAAATTCTTTGGAGACATGTATAAGATATGTGTTGCTTTCTTGTAATCGATTCTTTGTGGATAAATACTTAAGTTTGGTGAGATGAATAATAAATATACAAGAGATTCAATAATTGGCGTACGAAGTGGTCCTCTGTTTTGGCGTCATCTTGCAGTGGGCCTGCAATTGAACCAATCAAAGTCCTATGATGGTACACGGTGCTTGATCAATTTTGGTGTCAACAAATACCAGATGCAAATAGAAGTGGTTATTCAATTTTCTTTTCTTGTAATTCAATAGAAAAGAGCTCCATAAATTCTTGCATATGGTGCAGCTTAACCTCTCCACATCTCCCTTAATTTCTTGACGTCAATGATTAATTATTAGGTCTGCTCTACAATTTGTTTACCTTCTCTGGATTGATGACTTGTATTAATACCAAGATGCTAATGTCCATTGCCATTTCTCGAGTGTACTTGATTATTGGATCGATATTCCATGGAATGGTTATACATTGTCTTGATTCTGTCTGTTGAGAAGCATAGATTATTAATCAGCCATTCAATTGGTAAACATTCGAGGCATTCCACGGCATTGCAGATTTTGGACTAGCTCTGCAGCTCATAGAGCGAAGTCAATAATTCTCTATATAATAATAAAAGCTACGAAGGCACACATTTCGGATACACACACGCACGTCAGGTACCGTAGTCTTTTTCATGTGCTTCGACTATCTATTCTCTGCAACCCATCTGCTACTTTCGTTGGACTGTAATCTTCTAATGTGATTCAGAAATTTCATTTCATTCAGGGCGTACCTGAAACCGTCCCTTGCTACTTTAGTTATTTTGGTGAAAGTTGTATAGAATTTCAACATATGGACCTCACCACGGGCCAAATCCTCAACAGAGGATAGTAACTCTAGAAGATGCATTTTTAATATGGCTAGTTTTGGTTGATGCATTGGTTCAAGATCAGTTAGGTTTTAAGAGAGAATGACAAAAAAAAAAAAAAATAAAGAAAGTTTATTGAGGTATTTTGGTAATTTAATGGCTTCCGTCATTTGACTTAATGATTGAGGGGGTATGCATTAGTTCAAGATCAGTTAGGTTTTAAGAGAGAATGACAAGAAAAAAAATAGAGAAAATTTACTGAGTATTTTGATAATTTAATGGCTTCCTTCACTTGACTTAATGATTGAGGGGGTATTTGTCACAATGTAAAAGTTTAGGGGGTCTTTGTAATTTACCCTTTAAATAATTACCAAACAAAAAGCAAAAGCCTCGAATTGGAATAAGATCCGTCTGTAATTGGATCCATATCTGGTCTGTTATAATCGATTCGATTATATATATATATATTCTCTATGATTTTTAAATGTACTGGTGAAAAACATATAGTGGCACATGTATTTGTATGTGTAAGAGGAGAATGTGGATAAAGAAAATAAATGGATCAAAGTGCTGGGTGTAGGCTGGTCATTGACAAATATTGTGAAGAAAACAATAGTTGAGGATTGAATGGAAAATTATGCAAATAAAAAGTGTAATTTAGACATAAAAGTTTAAATAATTGGTTAAAATTGGAATGTAAATAAGAAATAGATACATAATAGGAAATCATATATAAATAATAGATAAATTTTAAAATATATCAGGAAAATGACCAGAAAGGCCTAATTACTACTAGGGGAGCTGTGTCGTGACAACATGGACTTGTCACTCGGTTTTTGGATATAATTAAAGCTTGAAGATCCTAACCAAAGCAAGCCTAGTCGTATCTTAAGCAAAGATGAACTTGAAGTAATATTTCCAATGAACTACGAAAGAAAAGATTTGAATTCTAGTAAATGGTCTGTTTGGTTGTTGAGAAACAATGGGATGAGAAAGAAAATTTTATTTTCTCAGTTTTTAGCACTTTGTGTTTGTTTGCTTAGACCCATTATCCTACATGGGTTTAGATCTACAATGACAATAACAGTGGGGTAACAGATGAAGACATGGGAAGAAGACAACTCCAGAGACAATGGATCTGACCTTCGCCGGAGATGAAGAAGACAACTTCGAATTCCTTGCCCGTTATATTCGCTGAAAATGAAAAAGACGGGCATAGAAAGAAAACGATGTTCTAGGGAAAAAAAAAGAAGCCAAAAAGGTTCAAACGTTGTGAAACAGAGATGAAAATGATGACTGGAGGTCCTACCTTCACCGGAGATGAAGAAAACAATGATTTGACTTCTTACCGCTAGGGACATGAAGAATGATGTCCAGGCAAAGAAAATCTATATCTATATAAATATATTAAGCTGAAATGTGTACATAAGAAGGCTTTAGGATGAGGGAAATGGAATCTAACAATACTTTTTCATTTTCTTCATTAAAATTACAAGAATGCCACTTTCTCCTATCAACTCTCTCTCTCTCTCTCTTTTCTTACAAATTACAAGAATGACATTTCTCTTTTACAAATTACAATAATGCCATTTTCTCTCTCTCTCTTGCCATCTCTCTCTCCTCATAAATTACAAGAATGCCACACTCTCTCCAACTGAGGGAGACCTCAGCTCGGTATCTCGACTGTTAGGAGAT